CACGCGCCACCATGCCCAGCTAATTTTTTGTATTTTTAGTGGAGACGGGGTTTCACCGTGTTGACCAGGATGGTCTCGATCTCTTGACCTCGTGATCCACCCGCCTCGGCCTCCCAAAGTGCTGGGATTACAGGCTTGAGCCACCGCGCCCGGCTGCACTTTCTTTTCTTGGGACCGGGCAAGGAGTGGGTTAAGGGTGAGGCAGCTCTCAAACACCGAGGGGCACCAGAATCACTGCAGATCCAGGCTCCACCCCAACCTTGGAGGAAGGAGGTATAGTTGGTGCTGAGCTGGGACGGTGATGTTTGCACCCCCTCTCCTCCTCACCGGGCTCCGACCACGGAGGGGATTGAAGCTCATGGGGCTCTGGGGCTTCTCCAATTCTTGAAGTGAACTTGTCCATTCATTTTTCCCAAGCCAGGCTCTCAATCTCTCCCTCCTGTTCTTATGAATTCCCCCTGGCTCCCTGTGGCCCATAGGAAACAGGCAAACTCCTGAGGCTGTCATTTGAAGCCCTGGACCCTCTGACCCCACCCTGCCACCCACTACTGTCCACATATGCCACACCTTGGCCACACAAGACACCTCTCCTTTCCCAACCAGGACACACCTCGGCTATGGCCACTTCTTCTTTATGAAATGTCCTTTCCCCACTTCTCTTGGAACACTCCCATGTAACCTTCAAGTCCCAGTTCAGAAGTCACCTCCTCTGGGGAGTCTTCCAGGATGGCACTCTCCCCCTGCCTCCAGAGCAAGACAGCCGCAGAGACGGCAGATCTGTGTCTCCAGAGCTCCATTCCCACAGTCAGGACGGCTTGTAATTCACATGTATATGGCCCTCCCACCAGACCCCGAACTTGGTCAGGGCAGCATATATGGTTAATTGATTCATCCCTGGGGCCCTGTGCAGGGTGCAGAGGCTGGTGTGGTGTGGCGGGGTGCAGGCTATTTGAGGGAGAGGCCAGAGGCTTGGCTGCTGCCTGGCTCCCCAGCTCAAGTGTTTCAGGCCTCTGGAAGACCTCAGTTTCCTCCTCTCTAAAGGATAGAGGGCTTAGAGCGGTCTGAGGGTTTGCAGGCCTGACACGCTGAGAGTCTAAGAATCTCCATTCTCAGAAATAGACCTGGGTGTGTGAGGTACCCTTTTGGGAAGATGTGAATGATGGCTGCCCAGAGTCCCCCAAAGGCTTAAGTCTGGGTGGACCTCCTGGGTGGTCCATCTCGGACATCCTCCTCAAGATGGGGCCTCTCTTGGACAGGCGGGTTTCAGGACCAACCCGCTTTGTGACGGTGCCTCTCAAGACAGTCACAGCCTGGGCGGGCCGTATCAGCCGAGTCCCCACTGGGGGCTGTCTATCTCCGAGAAGCCCCTCCCCGGCCATCCCTCTAAGGACGGGCCCTCCTGGGTGCCCGGGCGGGGCTGGGTGAGCAGTGCCTCTCACCCGCAGCTGGTCCTCCGGCAGGTCGCTGCCGTTGTTGATGCCACGGTTCATGGACACAAAGCGCTCGAAAGGCGGCTTGTCTCGGACGTTGGGGTTGTGGAGGCTGGTGTTGAGCATGATGATGGAGAAGGACAGCACGTAGCAGGTGTCTGCGGAGGGGACAGTGGTCACAGTCCTGGCCTTGGCCACTCTGCCTGCCTCTGCCCTGGTCCCCTCTAGGGCCCAGAATCTGCTGTCGCAAAGCCCTGAGGGTCCACCTTGTCCTCCTGGCTTGACCTTTGAGGCCCAGCCTCCCCACCCCTCCCACTCTTGCTGGTCCCCACCCCCCTTAAAGGAACGGCAGTCTCTCTTTCTGAGCCCCTTCCCACCCGGAGCTGTGGCTCCTGCTGGGCCCCCTGCCAGGCCCGCCGTCCCTTCCCTCCGCTTGAACCCTCCTCGCTCAGCCACGGCACCAGCCCTCCTATTCGCGGGGCCCTTCCAGCCCCCTGCCCACTCTGTTCTCTGCCTCTCGGAACTCGGGGAATGCTTTGTTGGCAGCACTGTTCAGGGCTGAGCCATGTGCTGCTCTGCAATCTGGCAGGCACTGTGGGGCTCCTGAGCCCCAGCGCTGCTCCCATTATTCAGACTTTCACGTGCTCAGGAGGGAGGCTGGGCTGACGGCTGGGGAGGGAGGGGGTTGCCACCGTGGGGTCTTTTGTGGTAATTGGCCCTGATTCCAGCTGCATCTCCCACTGTCTGATTGACCTTGGGAGGTACCTGACCTCCCTGACCTTCAGCTTCCCCATCCTTGACGTTCGGAGGCTCATCTTGGAAGTAGCTGCCTGTTTGAGAACATCGATGATTCTACCTCTGACAGCAGTGGCACCGAGCCTGGCTGATGCCTGCCCTGTGCTAAGCTCTCACACCCCATGCCCATCCTCTGAGGCAGGTCCTGTTATCACTCCCATTCTACAGATGAGGAAACCGAGGCGCAGGAGGTTAAGCCACATATGCCCAACATCATAACATTAAGAAGTAATTGGACAATGATTCAAATCTGGTCTTTAAGATGCCTTCTTTCCTACCAGAACTATGTATTGAGCGCGTACGCTGTGCTGTGGGCCTCGGAGTTATTGATGATCGGTCTGATAGGGTCCCTGCCCTTACAGGACGTTTAGACTTGTGACAGATAATAAACAAGCAAGTACCAAATTAAGATCTAACTTCAGAGTAGAGCCACTGCTCTGGAGGGCTTGTCCGTGGACCGCCAGGAGGCGGTGTGCTTCAGGACAGGTCATTTCTTTTCTTTCTCATTTATTTATTTATTTATTTATTTTTACGAGCTGGACTCTCACTCTGTCACCCAGGCTGGAGTGCAGTGGCACGATCTCAGCTCACTGTAACCTCCGCCTCCTGGGTTCAAGCCTCAGCCTCCTGTCTCAGCCTCCTGAGTAACTGGGATTACGGGTGTGTGCCACCACACCTGGCTAATGTTTGTATTTTTTGTAGAGACAGGGTTTCAACATGTTGGTCAGGCTAGTCTTGAACTACTGACCTCGTGATCTGCCCACCTTGGCCTCCCAAAGTGTTGGGATTACAGGCGTGAGCCACCGCGCCTGGCCGATAAGTCATTCCATCTCTCTGAAGCTATATCCCATGCACCAGGGAGGGATGAGGAGACTACTGACCTCAAACAGTTGAGGTAAGGATTGAGTGACTTTGGCCGGGCATGGTGGCTAACGCCTGTAATCCCAGCACTTTGGGAGGCCGAGGCGGGTGGATCACCTGAGGCCAGGAGTTCAAGACCAGCCTGACCAACACGGCGAAACCCTGCCTTTACTAAAAATACAAAATATTTAGCCAGGCACGGTGGCGGGCGCCTGTAATCCCAGCTACTTGGGAAGCTGAGGCAGGAGAATTGCATGAACCCGGGAGGTGGAGGTTGCAGTGAGCTGAGATCATGCCATTGTACTCCAGCCTGGGCAAGAGAGAGACACTCTGTCTGAAAAATGAAAAAAAAAAAAAAAGTGCATGGGGATTACTCTGCATACAGGGTTGGTTATTGATACAATAACTAGAGCAGAGAAGAGGCCAGGATAAGTTGGCTATGCTGGTTCCTCACCACCCTGTCTTCCGGGTGTCTTCACATGGGCATTGTGTTAGCCCTGGGAGAGAGGGGTATGGAGGACTGACCTTTGTGGATCTCCTTCTATGCCCCTTTTGCCCCCTACACCCTGCCCAGGCCGTTTCATGCTTCAAGGCCTTTGTTCCAACTGCAACTCCCGCCAAAAAGGCCCTTTCTCTCCTTAACCTCCTGGAAAACTCCTATTCATCCTTCAAAACCCTATTCTGGACTCACTGCCTCTGAAAAGCCATCTTGGACATGCTGATTCCCCTACGCCTGCCCTCAGACAGGAGTGCTGCTCCCTTAGCCTTAGCATCCTGTGCCATCATCTCCTGCCTCCTCTCCTAAGATCTGTGTCTCAAGGCAGCTCTCTCAGACAAGCACCCAGCAGCAATGGAGTTGGTGTTCAGTGAGGGTACTGAAGAGGTCTAGGCTTCCAGGGTCTGGGTGCTCAGGGGAAGCCTGAGGGGGTCTGTGGAATCTATGCCTGGCAGTGCTGAAGGGGTCCCAGAGCCCAGGGTCCCACTCCCCTCCTGGCACCTGTGGACTGGAAGACGTCCGGGTTGCAGAGGCAGTATCGAGTAGCAAAGGCCTCCATCATCCGGTCTATCTTCTGGGCCTCGCCCGGCAGCCGGAAGCTCCACAGAAACTGCCTAGGGGAGAAATGGGGCCATGGGCAGCGAGTGGGTGCGGGTCTCTCAGGGGCCCCAGGCCAGCTGCCCCGACTCTCCCAGGCTTAGTCTCTGGATCCTGTAAATGGGAGGATCTGCATCTGTCACCTGGACTCACCGGGAAGTGGGACTGGCACCAGCGAGTCCCAAGCACTCGGGAGGTAGCCAAGAAAAGCCTTTTCTTACAGAACACAGAACGGAGCATATGCCCTGTTCTGTACATCGGAATCCCAGCGCTGGCTGCAGCCCGGCCTGCCTGCCCCGGGTTCTGTGGCTCCCTGCACCTGGCCTTTGGGCTCCGGGATCTGGCGGTGGGACCCAGTTGAGGAGGGGGTGGGGCGGGGGTTTCCCCTTGCTAGGCCTCCCTTTCTTGGAACCTCAACTTCCCTCTAGCTCTGGAAGTTGGCGGTTTCCACAGCTTCAAGCTCAGTTTTCTGAGGGTGAGAACTGTGCCTGCGTCTCTCACTTCTCCTCCTGGGCTTCACACAGTCCTGGGCACCTAGCAATGGCTCAGTAAATATGTAAATGAATGAATGAATATGTGAATGAATGAATGAATGAATGAAGATGGGAGACTCCCAAGTCACCTACCCCTCTCCCTTAAAGAGCTGGGAGTTAGAGAGCACTAGGTGGTAGTGGCTTCTTTCTTCTCTGTATTGTAAACTCCTACTCACCCTCCAAAGCCCAGATCAGATGACCCTTCTTGGAATATGAGTTTCTGAACAGCAACAAGACTGACTAAGCACTTACTGTGGACCAGTTCTAAACGCTTTCTCATTTAATCTTCACAATCCTATGAAGTTGACACTATTATTATCCCCATTCTATGGATGAGGAAACTGAGGCACAGGGAGGTTTATTTTTTTGTGAGACAGAGTCTTACTCTGTTGCCCAGACTACAGTGCAGTGGTATGATCTTGGCTCACTGCAACCTCCACCTCCTGGGTTCAGGCGATTCTCCTGTCTCAGCCTTCGGAGTAGCTGGGATTACAGCCACCGCCCCCGGCTGATTTTTGTATTTTGTGCATGTGTGTGGCTTTCTCAAGGTCACACCGTGGGGAGTAGCAAAGCTGAGATTTGAACTGTGTCGTTTGACTCCAGAGTTTGTGCTTCAAGCTGATGATTGTACTTCCTCTGTAACTGTAAAAATGAGTAGCAACGGCCGGGCGCGGCGGCTGACACCTGTAATCCCAGCACTCTGCCAGGCCAAAGTGGGCAGTTCAGGAGGTCAAGAGATCGAGACCATCCTGGCCAATGTGGTGGAACCCCATCTCTACTAAAAATACAAAAATTAGCTGGGCGTGGTGGTGCGCGCCTGTAGTCCCAGCTACATGGGAGACTGAGGCAGGAGAATCGCTTGAACCCAGAAGGCGGAGGTTGCAACGAGCCAAGATCACACTACTGCACTCCAGCCTGGTGACGGAACGGGACTCTGTCTCAACAACAATAAAAAAAATGGGTAGCAACAGTACCCCAATTAGGAACTAATAAGTAATAAGAGTAATAAATGGAATACATACTAAGTAGTCTTATGAAATAAACTAAACATGCACTAGGCCAAGCGCAGTGCCTCACGCCTGTAATCCCAGCTCTTCGGGAGGCCAAGGTGGGTAGATCACAAAGTCAGGAGTTCAAGACCAGCCTGGCCAACATGGCAAAACCCTGTAATCCAGCTACTTGGGAGGCTGAGGCAGAAGAATCGCTAGAACCCGGGAGGCGGAAGTTGCGGTGAGCTGAGATCATGCCGTTGCACTCCGGCCTGGTGACAGAGTGAGACTTGGTCTCAAAAAGTACAATAAAATAAAAAACAATAAACAAAAAACATGCACTAATCCAAAAAGTAGAATGACAGTAATACAGTAATAAGGGTTAGAATGATTCAATCCGGTGTGACAGGACCCCAGCATAGTAAGAAGGCAGTATTTGCAGGGCACTAGGTCCTTTCGCAGGCAGTCCACCTCGGCTCTGTGACGCAGCGCCATCAGGAACTCATTTTTGTCCCTTGCCTCCTCCTCTTTGCTCCCGACCCTTTGTTTGTGCTGCTAGCTGTGTGGATCGCGACGCCCCCAGCCACTGGGGCTGTGCCACCCTTGAGGGCCGGGACCCCGTCCCTGGACCACTCACCTGAGGGCCTGGACGAGGTTGAGGTTGGCGAACTCATGGCAGTCCACAAAGGCCTGGAGGACCTGCAGGTTGACAGGGTCCCTAGGGAGGGGCGGAAGGGAGGGTGCGACACACTTGGGTACTTGCTGGCACCCACCTCCTGGAGGGGATTAGGTGGGGGAGGGAGAGCAGAGAGACATCTGTCCCTCTGGGGTGCAGCTGCCATCCGGTGCCTTCATGCCTGTCCCACCCATATCACACCCGGAGGACACACCCTTCCTCCCACGAAGGCACACACCTTCACGGCTCACCAGCGCTGGCTGGCCCGGGAGGGGAGCCCTGGCTCGGCAGTGGCCCGGCCTCAGTCCAGGCCCGCCTCATTTCCTGTAACTTCCAACTGGTGACCTTGCTGAAGCCACTTGACCTCCCCAGCCCCAGCTTTCTCATCTAAGGAGACAGGGGAGGGAGAGAAGCCAGCCTCCCCTGTATCCTCCCTCTCCCCAGCTCCTGGAGCAGGAGGGTGACCTTCTCGCCATCTCCATCCCTGCCCTCTCTGGGAGGGAGGTGTCCTCGGGAGCTGGGGAGAGTGCTGTTGACTCCCTGGTCCAGCTTCACCCCTATCCCCTGGCCCACCCCACAGACCAGCCCAGTCCTTTGCCCAGAGCCCTCCCACAGATCCCCACATCCTCCCTCTCTCCTCCCATCCAGTCTAGATTCTTGAGCCTGTTTCTGCCCCAGGGCCTTTGCACTTGCACCTCCTGGCCTGCTCCTCCCCAAGATGTCTGCACTGCTCGCTCCCTTACCTCCTTTACGTTTTGGTCAAACGTCACCTTCTCCGTGAGACCCTTTCTGTCCACACTACTCTAAATCACAGCCCCCAGCCTATGGCCTCCAGCCTCCCCCGCTTCCTTCCTCTGTCCCTCTTTCTCTCCTCCCTCCCTCCCTCCCCATCCCTCCCTCTTTCCCTTCTCTCCCCCCCCCTCTCTCTCTCTCTCTCTCTCTCTCTCTCTCTCTCTCTCTCTCGCTCTCTCTCTCTTTCTTTCAATGGAGTCTCACTCTACCGCCCAGGCTGGAGTGCAGTGGTGCAATCTTGTCTCATTGCAACCTCCACCTTCTGGGTTCAAGCGATTCTCCAGCCTCAGCCTCCGAGTAGCTGGGACTACAGGCGCGTGCCACCTGTAATGTAATGAGACTGGCTAATTTTTGTATTTTTAGTAGAGACGGGGTTTCATCATGTTGGCCTGACTGGTTTGAACCTCTGACCCCAAGTGATTCACCTGCCTTGGTCTCCCAAAGTGCTGGGATTACAGGCATGAGCCACCACGCCTGGCCAGTCCCCAGCATTTCTGACTTCCCTTCCCCACTCGATTTGTATTCCATAGAGCTTAATTTCTAAGATATTTTGCATATACTGAGAACTGTCTCTCCTTTTAAAAGTGTGCACCTCCTGAGGACGAGAGCTTTGTCTGTCTTATTCACCGGTGTCCGCCCAGGGCTTAGGGTGGTGCCTGGAACACAGCAGACCCTAGGCGGCCTTTATTTGTTGAATAAATGACCAAATGAATGAAGGCAGTCAGGTTTTGACTCAGAATCTGGTGGGGATGATCCGTGAGCCTCTCAAGCCCTAGGGGCGATGCCTTTCCTAACATAACCCATTCTCTCCCCTGCACATCACACACCTGTGCACACTTGCACACCTTCATTTCCTGCCTCCCTAAAGCTCCACGCCTTCTTACCTCTCCCCCAAGTAGGTCCCGATGGCGGTCTTGTTGAGGCCTTCGCCTTTATACAGGAACCGAGCGATGTCCTGGATGTCGGGCGTCAGCAGCTTATGCTCAATGAAATACCGGATGCCCTGGAGGGGTAGGCAGAACCCGTTAGCAGCTGCTGCACAGAAGCAGGCCTGGAAGGGGGAAGGGAGGAACAATCTCCTGTGGCCAGAGTCCTGGGGCTTGGCATTCTGATGTTGGCACAGTCTGTTCTGGGAAGTTGTGACCTCTCCTTCACAGGAGCTGCCTTTGTGAGGTGGTGAGTTCCCCATCACGGGAGGCGTGCAAGAAAGTCAGCCTTCCTGCAGTGAACCAGGTTCAAGCTAGGTACTCCCCAGGGTCCCCTCCAGTCTGACATTCTTTGATTATATGCTTCAATGATTCTAGGAATTTGTAATTCTAAGATTCAATGATTCAGCCATTTCTTTTGTTCCCCTAAAACTCACATTATTTAAAAATAGTGTTTCATTCTTTCACACAAGTCATCTATGTCAATTGCATAAAAGTTAGAAAAAAAACAGCTCAATTGAAAGGGGAGGAAATTGCCCGGGCCCTACCGCTGGGAGGTAGACAGCTTCCATTGTGGTGACCTTCCTTCCCTTTCTACATGAAAATGTGCTCGGACTGTGCCTGTCACGTTTAAAGCTGCTTTTCGGATTTGACAATATCACAAACATCTCTCCTCACCACCCAGGCGCTCAGGGTTTGTCATCCTAGTTTTAGGAGTTGGAGGGGTTGGTCTCTGCTTCTACTTGAAGATTCCTCTGTATTCCACTGCTGGAAGGTAGGCACAGGCCATGAGGGCCGAGTGACAGGCAGAGGGTGCAGAGGACACCCTGGGTGCTCGGTGAGTGTGTGGGCCAGAGGGGGTCCCTGTGGATGGGAGCAGGAGTCCAAGGGTCCGTGGCTGTGAGAGGTGAACGGGCCTGTGATGAGGACAAGTGCCTCCTAAGCCAGAGCAGTAAATTTCCAGGGACCCCAGCTTGGCACTCTCTGCTGGCTGCCCTGACCCCCCTTCGGTGTGTCTGCCTGCGGCTTCCTTCTGTCTCCATCCTTTCAGGAAAGGATGCCCAGCTGCCACCTGGTGGGGTGAGGGGTGGGGCTGGCGTTGCTCTGAGGCCAGGGGGTTTGGGAGTGCTGTGGGGGAGCGAGGTAGCCTGGCCCTGAGCGCTGACCCTGCCAGCAGAGGGGTGGGTGGCAGGACCACAGGACTGACTCTCCCCCAGCCCAGGGCTGGAAGATGCTTCTGGAGCCTGAGCCCCGGATCCCAGGGCCTCACTGTCCCAAGCCACATTCTTGGAGAAGGAAATGGACGCCCAGAGTGGGGAAGGGACTAGGCCAAGTGCGCGGACATCATGGCCTCCTCCAGGCTCCTGGCTCCTACCTTCTGCCCCAGGGCGCTTATGCCTCGGAGTAGACAGAGCCCCTAGCCGCAGCTGGCCATGGGGTGCTGGATAAGATGCTCAGCTGGTGGGCCCAGCTTCCTCCTCTGGAAAGGGGTCGTTGTGTCAGCTGAGGGAGGGAGAGGACACCAGAACGGTGCTCCCAGGCGGCCCCCGCACCCTGCGCCCCGGCCCTCCACAGCCGCCTACCTTTGCGGGCTCCATGTTGAACTTCTTGCGCCCGATGCACAGCTCCTTCTCCTTCTGGGCCATCCGGCTGTGGACATGAGGACGTCAGCCTCCATGCCTCAGTACCCTGAATTACCCTCTCCACTCCCCAAGGACGTTGGCCTCCTCGGGAGCCCGTATCTCTAGGGACCTCCCAGTGGGGTCCCCAGGCCCTGCACAAGCATTCCGCAGCTCTCAGGACCGCGGAGCTGCCGTGGGGCAGCCTGTGGAGGGGCCCTGTGCAAGAAAACGGGGACAGGGAGCAAGGGCTGAGTGTACAGGTGCTGGAGCCAGGGTCCTGGATGTGAATCTGAGCTGAGCTGCTTTGGGCGAGTCACCCCCCCCGGGCCTCGGTTTCCCCATTTGTAAAATGGAGGTGACACCACCACCTGCCTCCCAGCATTGTTGAGAGGCTGAAGCACCTAACCGGCGAGGTGTAGGTGTGTTATGTTGTTATGGTGTGGCTGGGATAGGGGAGCTGGAGAAACGGCCACTTGTGTGTGTGTGTGCATGTGTGCGAGTGCACGTGTGTGTGTAGGGGAGGAGAGAAGGCTGGACAGGCGTGGACAGGTAGAGACCTAAGGGCTGGCAGGAGCAGGATGGGGAATTCCCAAGACATCGCACGTCAGAGTCAGTGCCCTGGGGCCCTAGGGGACTATGTAGCAGCCCTAACCTTCTTGTTCCATAAATGAGGAAACAGACCCAGAGAGGGACAGGATGTTCTCCAGGTCACAAAACAGTAGGAGTTTTTTTGGCTGGGTGCGGTGGCTCACACTTGTAATCCCAGCACTTTGGGAGGCCGAGGTGTGTGGATCATGAGGTCAGGAGTTCGAGACCAGCCTGATCAACATGGTGAAACCCTATCTCTACTAAAAATACTAAAAATACAAAAATTAGCCAGGCGTGGTGGTGTGTGTCTATAATTCCAGCTATTCAGGAGGCTGAGGCAGGAGACTCGCTTGAACCCGGGAGGTGGAGGTTGCAGTGAGCTGAGATCTGCCACTGCACTCCAGCCTGGGCGACAGAGCAAGACTCCTTCTCAAAACAAAAACAAAACCAAAAACCAAAAACAAAACAAAACAGAAAACAGTGGGAGTTTTCCATAGAGGCGGTGCGGGTGGCTGGCCCCGGTCCGTGGTAATGGGGTGGGATGGGGCCCTGGGCTTCCTTGTCCTTGCCCTTTGGGCCTGAACTTCCCTCCTCCCCGCCCATCCCAGGATGGACGTGGCCAGTGATGGGTCAGGAGAGACTTTGGGTTGGGGAGGGGAGGAACGCAGTGTCTCTCAAGAGAGGGTCAGCCCAGAAGCAGGGACTCGACCAGACCCGGGCTGGGGCTGGGGCCGCCCTGTTCCTGTCTCGTTGTTGCTACCTCCTTCGTCAGGGCCAATCCCTGATTTCACCAGGCCCGGGGGCCGGCGGTGGCCCCTGCTCATTCAAGGCATATGACATCCCTGGGAAGCAACCGTGGCAGTTTCTGGGGGTCCCCCACCCAGGCCCCTCACCTCTCCTCCGCACTCTCGAAGCAGTCGATCTGGGCAAACACATCTGCGATCTCATCCTTTAGCTTCTGTGGGGTGGCAGGGGGCAGGACAGGGAGAATCAGGGGTGGAGGCCAGAACCCTGGGGGTTTAAGACCGCAATGACCCCTCCCACCCGTGGGCATGACTCTCAAACCTGGCCCCTCTCCCTGACCTCTGCCCTGAGACCCCAATCTGAGAGACCCTCCACTGACAGGTCCCCTCCGTGGATGTCGCATAATCTCAGAGTCCTGTGTTAAACTGTCACCTCTGTCTGCACCCATGCCTCCGCTTGTCTTGGGGGGGTGGGAGTCCCCAAGCCCTCATCCCTTGCCCAACCTATTTCCAACCTTCCCATCTCTCTGCTCAGCGGCCATGAAGTCTCCTGACCTCTAGCTGAGCCTACCTGAAAAGCTGGCCTCCCCCCTGCCCGCCTCCCCCCTGCCCGCCTCCCTGCTGCCTGCCTCCCTCTGCTGGTGTGTTTCTGGAGCACTGTATGGAGCCTGCCCTTCCCCTGCTCAAATCCCTCCCATGGCTCCCTGCTGCCTCCTCAGTTTCTGCCCCAGCTTCTCTCTGGCTTCCCTTTATTTGATCTGTTGCTCACCCTGGACTAAGTGCCCGCTGTGTGTCAGGTACCATGGGGACACCACGCATAGGCAGCAGAGGCCCTCGTTTCAGGGACTTTGCAATTCCCCTGGGCTTTAGAGAAGAGGACGCTGAGGCGCAGAGAGACGACGTGGCATGCCCACAGATGCTGCTCCTGGGGCTGGGGCCAAGGCTGATATGGGCCAGAGGTGGCCACACTGACCAGGCTGGGTCAGGAGCTGGTGGGGTGTGTGCAAGCGTGCAGGAGTGTGCGGGCACGTGCAACGTGGCGTGTGTGGGCATGTGGACACAAGTGTGTGCTCACCTGGATGTCCTCCAGGAGCTGCTTCCGGTGCCACTTGATCCTCTGCAACTCTTCTGCCTCCCCACTGCTCAGCTCCGTGGGCTCTGCAGAGAGAGAAGCGGCTTGGCAGCTTCCCCATCACCCGGCTCCGGCTACGCCCCCTTGCTCTTGCTGCCTCAGGGCCCCCTTCCCTCCAGAAGCTCAGGACTTGTCCTCCTCACTGAAGCCTGCCTCCTCCAGGAGGCCTCCCCGAATGTCTTTCTAAAGCAGCCCTGCTCCCTCCCCTCCTGCCCTGCTTCCTGTTTCTCCCACCCCCTTGGATAGACACCCCCCCTCCGCCCTGCACCCCGCAAAAGCATCTTGTTTCCTTGTATCTCTTCTGTCCCTCCCGTTAGACGTCTGGCTCCATGAGACTTCAGCTGTTCTATTCTTTTGCTCACTGCTGTGTCCCCAGCACCTAGAAAGAGTCTGCCACGTCAGAAGCACTCAGTTAAACACTCGCTGAACGCATGCATCCTTCCCCAGAACTTGAATCTCCTCCTCTGCTGGCTCACGGGCTTATTATTTATTCACTTATTTATTTGAACAACCAGGAAGTGGCACAGCATTTTCCTCACATCCCATTGGCCAGAATGTAGTCACGTGGCCACGTCTAGCTGCAAGGGAGGCTGGGAAATGAGCCTGTAACCGGGTAGTCCTGATGCCCTTACTATGTAGAATGGGGAGGCTGGGGAGGACATTCTATAGTCCCTGACCCCAGATACTGAGGCTCAGAGAGGTGAGGTAATCCAACCAAGGTCCCACAGGGAAAAGGTTACTGAGCCAGAACAGGACCTTGGATTGGGCTGACTCCAAAGCCTGTGTTCTTTCATCTCCATCTGGAAATGAATTAAATTAAATAAAACTTGGGCCGGGTGCAGTGGTTCATGCCTGTAATCCCAGCACTTTGGGAGGTGGAGGTGGGTGGATCACAAGGTTAAGAGATCGAGACCATCCTGGCCAACATGGTGAAACTCCATCTCTACTAAAAATATAAAAACAATTAGCCGGATGTGGTGGCGCATGCCTGTAATCCCAGCTACTCAGGAGACTGAGGCAGGAGAATTGCTTGAACCCAGGAGGCGGAGGTTGCAGTGTGCTGAGATTGCGCCATTTGCACTCCAGCCTGTGTCAGAGTGAGACTCCAACTCAAGGAAAAAAAAAAAAAAGACTTGTGTGTGCTGGTGTTCTATTGCAGGTGCTATGATGATGCCCACAACTGGGTCCGCTATCCCATCTCCATGCTCCATGGTGGCTTCTGTTTCATTCACAATACTCTCCTCTGAGTAACATGTCCTCCCTATTACTCAGAGAGAGAGAGAGAGAGAGAGAGAGAGAGAGAGAGAGTCCTCATCCTGAGCCTGGGGCCTCCACAACCTCTCCAGCCCTGGCAGCCAGCCGTACTCCCTGCCATTCCCAACGAGAGCCTGCCAGTCCAGCCTGCCAGCTCCTTCCTGCCCCAAAGCCATCTAGGACTCAGCCCCGCTTCCCCATGCTTGCCCAGGCAGCTCCTGTGCTCCGGGATGTCCTCTCCTGCCTGCCTGCCCAAATCCTCACTGACTTCAAGTTCCAGCATCAGGAAGTGCCTGGTCACATTTTTTCAAGGTTTTTACAAGGTTAGACATCATTTCCCCCAAATGAGTGAAGAGGGAATGTTGAGCGCTCCCTTTCCCAGCTTCTCCCTCTCGTGATAAGCAGTTGTGGATGTTGAGATGAAGGCTCGTGCTGAGGTGGCAGGGCACCAGGCTGGATGGAGCCCAGGTCCCCAGGCAGTGGTGTGGAGACTCATCACATTCACCTGGACCACCGGTCTGCTTGGACTTCTCAGTGAGGGAGAAATCAGCTTTGAGAATGTTTAGGTTGCTGTTACTCTGAGTGTCTTTAAGCAGCGAAACCAGAGACATAGCTAACACGGCATCCTTGTCTGAGAAATGTGGACCATAACCCTTACCTCAGAGGGCAGCTGTCGGGAAGAAAAGAGCCAGACTTTCTCAAACACCCAGCAAGAATCCAACACGTGCTGAGTCCAGCATGTATACAATGGGTGCCGTGGGCATCAGGCTGTCCTCGTCAGGACCAAGGTGCCATCACCCCAGCTGGTGTGAGTGGAGCCTGTTGATCGCTCACAGCCAAGTCCCTCCCCAGGAACCAGCCTCAGCCAAAGGGAGCTGCCTCACCTGGGAGTTCCCCCACCAAGGGCAGCCACTGCAATAAAAAGCCAAGATCCCTTGCCTGGCTTCAGGACCTGCATCACTTTTCAGATCCAGAACCTCCAGACTGAAAGAGAGGCTGGGTCCCGAAGGAAGAGTCCTGCAACGCTGTGGCAAGTGTCTATGGCAGTGACTCCCTGGTTCTTCCCTAGAAACACCTGTGGCCATTCACTGCGGTAACTGTCCACTGGGGAAAGGGGAATATCCCAACATTCTGAGGCTTGTTGGACAGAGGATCCGAGTTGACAGCAGCGCTCGAGACTGAAGTGTTCTCCAGGCCACCTTTGAGTGGGGGCACGTAGAGACCAGGTGGTGAACGAAGCCCTGGCCAGGTCCGGCTCGCCAGGGGTCTGCTTGATTTGTTTCCCGGTCAGTTTCCTGGTCTACAGACATAGAATTGGAATGGACGTCCTTGGTATTGACTCCACATTGGTACCTTGGCTCATGGGGTCAGGATCCTTGTAGTGGGAATAGCTATTGGGAAATCCATGAAGCTGACCCATCATCCCCACAGCTAAGAGAGTAAATCAGGAATGATGCCCTGAGGGGAAAGGCAGGTGTGAGTGCCGTGCTGGGGACCTAAAGGATGCAGGAGCCGTGGCCCTCACCCCACCCCCAAGCACGTCTCCAGTTGGGAGGATGGCCACAGACGACTACAAACCAACCGAGGAAGCCCCAGCTGCAGCTGCCGGCCAGATGTGGTGTCTGCCAGAGCAGAGGAACGGGGCCCTGCAAAGGGTGTGTGCTCATTGGGAAGGAGGCCCAGGAACAGTCGGCATCCACGTGGGGTGGACAGGCCTGGCCCCCGGGTTACGGGAACCCTCCAGCCTGCTCTCATAACATAGCCCAACGATCCTGACTCAGGATCCACAGTGGCTCACCATACGGTGACAGCGTGTTAACTGAACCAGACGTGATGGAAGTGGCCGGGGTCAGATAGTGGGAGAGGAGCCCGACGATGACTTGGGGACTTGCCGCATCAGCGAAGCTTTTAGATAGTGCCGTCCTTTCCGGGACAGCTCCTCCAAAGTCAAGGACAAATGTGTTCCTATTGTGTCTTCCACCGCTTAGCAGGAAATACAGTCACCTGGTGGGTCTCTTTGAGCTCTGAGGCAGCCTATTCTAGCCCTGGGAAAGCCACTCCCACCCGCACCCCCACCCCCGCCCCACTGACTGACATGCAGGGCTGCCAGCTGTGAGAGCCACTGCCGGAAAGGATTTGCAGCAGGTGTATGCCATGGTACGAGGGCCCGCGTGGGCCGTGCCACCTGGTGGACCCTATGGGACATTAGCAGTATCGGGGATGGGAAAGACTCCATGTGCAATTTATGGTGGGTCCCAATGGAAGAAAGCAGTGTAGACCCCCAAGGGTTGCGGAGGAAGGCCAGGCCACCTGCAGCAGAGAATTATATATTATGCAGAAAACAGTTCTTGGAATGGCCCTGGGTCCTGGCAGAGATAGAGTGCCAGCCCACGGAACATCACATAACTAAGCAGCCCAGACGGGTCCATCTGACCCACTAAGTCAGAAGGTCAAGCAAGCCTAACAGCAGTCCTTTGAAAGTGGTACATCCGGCAGTGCGGGACGAGTCCTAATTAATGCGTATGATAAGTTATCTAGTTTGCTGAGAACCATGGCAAGGAAAACCGAGCCGGCCCCACGAGTGGAAAACTGCTTGGGGCATTCTAAAGTAGCAAACAGAATATGTATATCATACAGCACTTAAAACAATTCTTTAAGCAGGGGATATGTGACCCTGCCCCCGTGGCTCCCTCCTGGAGAATACTTTCTTTCTTTCTTTTTTGAGATGGAGTCTCACTCTGTAGCCCCGGCTGGAGTTCAGTGGTGCGATCTCGGCTCACCGCAACCCCGATCTCCAGGGTCCCGGTTCAAGCAATTCTCCTACCTCAACCTCCCAAGTAGCTGGGATTATAGGTACAAGCAACCATGCCCAGCTAGTTTTTGTATTTTTTAGTAGAGACGGGATTTCATCATGTTGGCCAGTTTGGTCTTGAACTCCTGACCTCACGATCCGCCCACCTCGGCCTCCCAAAGTGCTGGGATTACAGGTGTGAGCCACCGCGCCCAGCCTGGAGAATACTTTTTAGTTTGTCTTTGATCAGTGGTAGGCAGGCATCAGTTGTTTGCCTGGTTTATTTTTGTTCTATGAGAAAACACAGAATACGTGTTTGTTAATAATAATCACGTGTTCGGAGAGAATAAGTACTTGGGTCAGAGTCTGCTCAAGGCTTTCAGCCTGGAATGCTGTTAGTCTCTTGATAGTTCCACTTTGCTGTGTCTGTTTCTTAATTCCTTCAGCATCACGTGGGTTGGGGTCTCTACGACTGAGCTGGTCTCAGTACAGGGGCAGGTGTGAGCAGAGCCGGGGGCTCTGGTAGGCTCTAGGAATAAGTGGCGCAGACCCTCATGTCATCCCCTGCTGGTGCACCAGGGCGCATCCCTCAGCTTACACCGTGGCCACATGGGCGGGTCCCTGATGACTTTCTGGCGACGGAGAAAAATGCTCAAGGTTGGTTGCAGAATGAGTTGGCTCGGAGTTTGAGAGTGAAAACTGGTCAGCGACTGAACTATAGCCTGCTCAAAGGTATCCCGGAGAGACAGTGGTGAGGGCAAGTCCTCCCAGGGGGCAGGGCTTTGGGCAGGGCACCTGGCCATCCACTTCCTGTGGAAAGAGAAGTGGCTTCTTGAAGTCAGAATATCCATGCATCATGGGCAGTGGTGACTGGCTTGACTTACTGGTCAGAGGTCAGAAAGAAGGAAAATGGGAAGATCAGAAACACAGAAGTCAGGAGAAGAGGCGGGTGGATGACCCCGTGGGAGCGGGCACAGATCG